GCTCTGTACTGGGGATGAGATCTCCCTCTCCCGAGACGCTTCCTACAAACAAACAACCATCACATTCATGTTCAATCTTACCAATTAATTACACTGAAGAAATATAAAAAATATGTTGAAAAGTCTGAGTGCTCTAGGTTTAGGCCAGGTCTTATAAAGTGATATACAAATAATACATTTAATACAAACATAATAATACATAACATTTACATTTTATTTCTCCCTGGGCAGATATCTTGACTTTGAAGTTGCACTACGACAATTTTCACCACATATTCATCTTTTGTTGAAGCTTTGCCTGGAATGTTCCACAGTATGGCATTAAACTTTTAAACTTACCTCCATAAGCAGGGATACCACAAGGCCAAATTACCATTTTGTGTTTTTTCTTGAGTTTTCAGACAATCTAAAAACTTTTTTGACAGTATTTTTGTGTGCATTGTGTCTCCAACAGTTCAGAACATTCAACCATACAGATACGTGTAGATTTAATTCTTACTTTGTCAAATAATAATTAAAATGTTCATATTTATTGTTGTCAAAGTTCACAGTAAATTGATGCAAATTTTGAAACACTGAGATATAAGATATTACCAGTGAGTTAAATGAAAACACCAGGACTTAAACTGTAAGTCCAGTTATTTTAGTTTAACTCACTGATAATAAAGTTCACAGTACCATATAATTCCCATTTAAAAACATATCCACCATGGAAAACAGACATGCTTAATAAATGTTCTGCATATCTGTTTGAGTCATTAACAACTCAAATAGAAACAGCAAACACAAGTCCACAACCTATGAGGCACTATATCATTTATGCTGGTTATAAGTTACTACTGCAGCAACTCAATGAAACGAGAAAAAGAAATATACTTGGTTTGCACTTTGAACTGATAAACTGGCTTTGGTTTAGTTTTAATTGCAATACTTGAGTTTTTGCTCCAGCATGTGAAAGCATACACACTTACAGCGAATTTACTCCATCAGACCTGTCAGATCCATATTTAGTTCTAGTAGTTTAGTTCTTCTCTCGAACAGAAAACACTCTGTTCCACCTTGTGATGTCATGTAGTAATACAGGAAGTGCTCCACTGCATTTTAAAATCATACATATTCACTAGAATCATTTGGATAATTTCAGCTCTGGAATTGTTAATATCTTATGAACCAAAGGTAAAAGTTAGTGGATAACTTGAAAACTACTGCTTCATGGTGTCACAAGGTGGAACAGAACAGACAGACTAATAATAAAGGATTACTCAAACATGTGTGAATGAAACAAAATACAACTCCAGGTATGTTTTTGAGGCTTCATGTTTATGGCTCAAACCTCACAAGAGTCAATTTTACATAATATAAGACCTTTAAAAGACCATGTAACATCTGAACTGCTTTGTCTAAGTTTTAAATACAGTAATTGAGTTTTTGCCCCAGACCCCCTCCCTTGGGTGCTTAGAGGTGTTGTATGGGTGTCATGTAGTGTCATTACAAAGTGAAGTGTTAAAGCATACACACTTAGAGCCTGTTTACTCAGCAGGTCTCCATCAGCCCTGTCAGATGGGCCCCCGAGGACTCCACTGGGACAAATACTCACAACTGGACACAAGTGATGTTACATAAGACAGCTTTTACACAGCAGATGTGCCATTACTGTATGTTTAACTGTGTAAGAGTATAGAGATGCACTGTCCCAGAGCTTAGCATTATCCCCAGCAGGTTCCGGTGTGCTCCAGCAGTTCTTAGAAAATGACTGTATAAGATTAAAGGCCCTATACTACGCAAAATTGACTGTTGTGAGCTTTAAAACATGTTATAATTCTGGTATCTTAGCTGGAGATGTGTTTTGTTTCACATGTTTGAGTAACCCTTTATTATTAGTCTGTCTGCATTTCCAAATCCAAAATGCTCTACTCCATAAAGCGGACATTTTTAAGTTAACAGCTCCTTTTACCTTTTGTTCAGTAAGGGCGGGCAATTCCAGGGCTGAAATCATCCAAATGTTTTTAGTGTAGAGGTGGATGGAGTTTAAAAACATAATGATATCACAAGGTGGAACAGAGTGTTTTCGGTTTGAGAAAGGAACTCAGCCTAAATATGCAGGGTTTGTGTGTTAAACATGTGTGAATGAAACAAAACACAATTCCAGGTCTGTTTTTGAGGAAAACAACATTATGAAAATACCACAAAATAATTTTCAATCTGGTCCCATTCTTAATATTTGCATAGGAGCAATTTTAGAAAATTACTTCTTATGTCTGGTCAGATCCTACCGCCTTTGTAAAGTCATCTTACTTTCACGTCATTCCTTTAATTTCCTTTAATTTAAGATACATGTTGGAAAAATGTTGCGCACAGAGACTGTAAATCAGGAGACAGGTAAAGACACAGGAGTTCAGTTGTATCAGATCCTGGTTGAAGCTGACAGATGAGACAAGTGGAGCTGCCGTCAATGTGCCAAATACCCGTCAATATTTGGGGGTCCTCATCTCCGAATTTTTGAGCAACAGAGACTCAAATGTGAAGAAAAAGACACCATGGATAGCCTAAACTGAATAGGCCCAACTCAATTAATTCAACTTATAAAAATGTTAGGTGCCTCTGCATGAGAAGCGCTGTCCCCAGGAAGAACCAAGAGCGCAAAAGGACAAACCCCTCAGAATAACATATAACCAATCAAACGGGATTCATGCTTCTGTCCCATTTTTGATCAACTTTACACTATAATATTAGGCCTGTCACAATAAATACTATATTGACTTATCATTGAATATATGAAATGAAAACTGGAACATTATATTTTAAGACTCAATATATGCCGTGTGTATATTTTCTTGCAAAAGTGGGGATATTTTTGTTGATTTAGGTGTAATACGATAAGAACTGAGCTATAGAGGGTTGAATAAGTCACATTCTCTTACTTATTTGTTGTAGCTCATGTTTTTAATAATACTGTCAATTTAAAAAGGGTGTAATCTTAATCAGTGGCATAACATAGATTCTATATTATCCTTTATTGCAATATTTGTCTGTAGCAATTTATCATGCTTAAAATGTTGTTATTGTGCGAGGCTTATATAATATACTACACGTTATAGTCCAGTTTACCTGAAATAACGTCTTTGGCTCCCATGTCTTCTCCTTGTGTGGTCCCTGTGTCTTTGTCCATGTTGCCGCTGGTCTTATTACCCATCACACTCCAACAGACTGATCTTCACCTCCTCAGCTGAAAAAAAGAAATAGTTTCCAAGTTTTAACCACAGGATGTCTTCTGAATCAGCTAAAAAGTCACTCTGAAAGGGTTTTGGTTCTCTCAAGCTTCTGAACATAGAGGTATGCCTGATCATGTGACTTAATCCTCTGTCTGAAGAAAAAGGCCTCACCATCTTCAAGAATTAATAGAGACTCGAGACAGTAATTTAGTGTGGCGAAGTATGTATGACCAAATTTTCACTTATATGTACGCTAAAGAACACTATTAGAGGGCCTATATTACGCCATCTTCCTTATCACTAACATACATGGAATTGTGTTTTGTTTCATTCACACGTGTTTAATATTCAAACCCTACATATTTAGGCTGGGTTCTTAAAGTAGAACAGAGCAATTTGAGCTTTGGGATGTAGACAGACTAATAATAAAGGATTACTCAAACATGCATGAATAAAACAAAACACAACTCGAGGTATGTTTTTGAGGAGGTAACAGCATTAAAACACAACTTAAAGCTCAAACGAGTGAATTCTGTGTAATATAGGACCTTTAAAAGACCATATAACACTTTACTACATGCTACGATTCTTGAGATAGGTTAATTAAGATTGTAATCTGGAGAGATTTTCATTGGCTGGTAATCGTCGAGTAATTTCTATTGCTGTGAGATGTCTTAGATAGAAATGAATGAAAACAATTATGTCTGGCCTACTTATTTGTCATGGAAATGACTATTGAATAACATGTTCCTTAATACACAATGCGATAACCTGTTTATTTCTTGTGTAACCTTGTAACACTGATTCACTGATATTTATGTAATCCTTAGCTGATATTACATGGTAAGTTTGAATAGACATCATCCCTCGAGGAATGATTGCAAAAAATATTCAGGCAAATTGGATGAAGCTGTTTCATAACCAAGTATTTGGAGAATGCCCCTAAAGTGATGAAGAGATGTTTTCAACTGAGTCAGAAATGAATTTTGCTGTTTGAAGGAGGGTGCCCTGTTCACTCAAGCTGAATTAAACAAAACTGTGACCTAGTTTTGTATAAAAAATATAGCCTAGAGTTAAAATAAACAATAATAAATAAATAAATGAGCCTAAATAAATAAATGAGGGATCTGTGGAACATCTGTGGAACACTTAATAAAATAGTAATAGTGTGTTGATGAGTTAAAAGGTTGTTACCTAAAATGGTGAAGATGGTGCGCGTGCACTCACGTTTGGCTACGCAACATGCTCTGGGGCTGCGCGTGCCAGTCCCGCGCACTACAAAAACTCGAATTAGTAATTGACAGGATTACGCACGGCACGGGTGTAGGCGACTATTTACACAATGCATTTATATTAGGCTATAAATACCTCTGCGATTTTACAAAGCAGTGTTTTGTTAATGTTACACCCAAATGCACTCCAACTGAACCTGTTTTGGTTTTCTTTAGCGTATGGGAAGTCTAATTTAATTTACTTTATCGATGGTAACTAAGTAGTCCATATGCTATTGCGCATTTTACCTCGACGCCATTTCAGAATCGCCCACATAACCTTTGCTTTTACCGCCCTGTTTAAAATAGAGACCCAGCCAGGACCACACCATGCATCTGTCCCGGCTGTGGTTCCGTGCTTACCGTGCATCCTCCTCGCCTTCAGCCCGATGTGGTTCGTGTCTTCCGGCCGCAGTACCGTGTCCTCCGTGCCCCTCTCACCCCGCGTCATGCCCCTGTCTTCACCACCGCTGCTGCTGTCCTCGGATTCCGCTGTCTTTGCTTCATGGTTAAATCCTCATATATTCTTACATGCACTGCTGATTTCTGTGTTTACGTCGCGGGGAGTGGGCCCAGTGCTGCGCCCTAGTGGCAGATGTGGAGTACTGATCTGTGAGAAGTGTGTCAGTGTTATTTAACATAGAGAGGGCATATGATGGGATTAAACTGAAGAATTGATAGAAAATAATGCAGTGGATTAAAGGAGCAAAAGGTTAAATTGTGATGTGTAACAATTTGACGGTTCCTGTTTTCTTATGAACAGATGACATAACAAAAACAAAGCAACATACTGGGACATCTCAGCCCCGGAGCAGAGAATTCTTTTGTGTAAGAACATTGCAGTGTCCACATTTGCTAGACGACTAGTTGATGGTTTGTGCTGCTCTATCTACAGTGTGTATGTACTATGAACCAGAGGTGGGTTAGTGTGTCAAGTGTCAAGTAAATCATGAGTCTTTAACCTAAAGCCCAAGTCAAGTCTCAAGTCAAAGACAGGCAAGACCAAGTCAAGTCTCAAGTCACTGGCCCATAAATTCAAGTCAAGTCCAAGTCATCATCTTTGAGCTTCAAGTCATTTCAAGTCTTGAAACCAAAATACAGCACCAAATACATCTTAGATTTTTGAAATTCATATGAATCTTAAAGTAAATTGTACTTAAAATGTCATGGTATATTTATATACGAGTTTTTTATAGAGTTGTAGAACTGTTAATTCTTCTTTTTTAAATGTCTTGACAAGATCTAAGTGTGAATTATTATAGTCAGAACAGAAAGAATTAAGATTTAAGCGTGTTTAATATCAGTTATTTTGTCGTGTAGTTTGCACTGAAATGGAAGGATCATGTTCCATGTATTTCCCTCAGTTTTACTGTATTGCACTGTATATTACTGTATTGTTCTGTATTTTACTGTAGTACGTTTGAGGATACCATCACAGTACTTCAGTTTCATGCAAAGTAACAAACAGAGAAGTGGGAGGGACATGTTTCAGTTTCTTCAAAATGAATCACCACATTTATCAACTATATAGAGAAAAGTATTTTCAAAAAACATATTTTTTTAGGAGAAGCATCAAGTCTTCTCAAGTCACAGGCCTCAAGTCCAAGTCAAGTCCCAAGTCATTGACCTTCAAGTCCAAGTTGAGTCCCAAGACTTAGTCCATTTTATCAAGTCAAGTCTCAAGTCCTAAAAATAGTGACTCAAGTCTGACTTGAATTCAAGTCATGACTTGAAAGTCTCCACCTCTAATGTGACCCATTGCAGGTGATATTTTTCATGCAAATATACATTAAATTCCTTGCTGAGTGTACCTCTTTTTGTTCTATTATTGTGCAAAATAAACAAAATATACAGAATAATATAATAAATGTAATTTGGTCTGGTTTGATAATTTAAAGATACTTTGAAACCATTTTTTCCACTGATTGTAAAGGTAGACCTATGTATTTAACAACATGTAACGTTTCTCGTGAAGTTTGACACCTGCTGCCTGTCTATAATAACCTAATAAAAATGCATTGGATTTAATAGAGGCTTTCAAGACAACCAAAGTGCTTTACTGTGCATTATTCATTCACTCCATACTCACTTGTGGTAAGCAGCTATTGTAGCCACAGTTGCCCTGGGGTAGACTGATTGAAGTCAGGCTGCCCATCTGCCCTCCGACCACCACCAATCATTCACTCATACACCACTTTCATAATAAGCACAGTGGGTGAAGTGTCTTACCCAAGGATACAATGACAGAACTTGGTCTAAGGGAATCAAATCTCTGCAGGAATCGATTCTCTGACCTGATGTTGTTGCTTTTTAAATACTTCTTCTGTTCTGTAGTATGGCTTTAAACTAACCAATCCAGCTTGCCCTTTTCAATTATAGGTGTTTCTGAAGCATAAAAAAGTAAACATTCTAATGAGGGGGCCATCTCTCCACAGAGCTGACCTGTAACTTGGCCTGATGCTGTCGCCTGCTTGTCTCCATGGAGATAGTTACTGTGGAATTTATATTTATACCCTACATACTTTTATAGTGTTGGAAAAGCACACATTAAAATAAATAAAAAATTGAACATTGCTTTATTATTTGTGATGTAAATGATAAAAATGGCAAGACATGCTTCTTCTTTAAACAGCTCACAAAGTCTGACCCAAACCAACAGTGGCCATTGATTTTGGCTCAGAGACATCAGAGGTCACATGATGTTATTTCAAATCACATTATTTCTCCATTAGACAAAATGGTTTTTATCCAGCCACAGTCATGCTGTAATGTTTTATAATTACCCATAAAAGATGATATTATACAAAAAAAAGCACTTTTAGTTTTTAGATGCACTATTATTCAAATCCACCAGTTCCTCAATTAGCATATCAACGTACCTGGATGTTCTTCTTTTTGTTTAGTTTGGAAATTCACACATTTTGTTACTTACCAATAAGGATATGGATTGATTAAATGTACAATAGTTACAAGCTAAGTGCAGATTCAAAATACAACAGTGTTATAGCCTATTATTAACTATTCCCACAAAGGCAATTCAGACACAGAATTACCAACGGGACGCTTGAATTTTGCATAATATAAAACATGGTAAAAAATTATACAGTCGATAAGCAGTAGCACCAGAATCGTGAAGCAAGTGATAACTAATGATATACAAAATAAAGTGAAAAGTGCATTCATTTTTTCAGTAAACAATAAAATCAACTGTACATCAAAGAAGTTATCTCTTTCAGCTCAAGTAGTTGTTCAGTGTATTTGTTTCCATAGAGCTCCCTCTAGTGGCAGCAGCAGTGATTGAGCTCGACATGATCTCCAGTTTAAGAGCCCCTGTGTCCACGAAGGTCTGTGAAAGCACCTCTACAGAAAGAAAATAAAAGTTGTGTTACTTCAACATTTATATTAGTCAATTAGAGGAAAAGGAGGCTGACCAATAGTTAATCAGATAAGAAAGCATTTGATGAAAAGTAAATGAGATCTAATTAAAAGTGCACTACTTTTCTGGTGGGGGTTCATCTGTCTGTTTGTGTTGGACGTTATTTCTTTGCCTTGAATGTTCCACATATGGCATTAAACATATCAAACTTGCATTTATTTAATTGCAGCTGTTTTTATTGTTCAAAATGAGCCACTCTCTGGTCCACAGATCTGAAATTTAAGTCATGGCACCTGCTTGTTTTCATGCAGATAGATAAGTTTAATGCTGTACTATGAACCATTCCTGACAAAACCATCTCCATAGAGACACATACATGGCGGACCCTCCAACACAAGAGATACACAAGATGTAATCTGACAACTAACTGCAATATACTGTAGTTAAGCATGTGCCAAATGTGATACTTTTGCAATATAAATAAAGATGGTCAAAGAAAATACATCTGTGAGTGTAATTATTTTCAAATACAAAAAAAAAAAAAAAAATCCACTTGTACTGGGATTGTACAGGGATAATAATGCAAATGTTAGCCTTGCTCATTTAAATTATATTCATTATTTAATAAAGTTAATTATTGAGTATACTATGATTATATATGTACAGCAACAGTTTCTATTTTAATAAAGTCCGATATAAGTGAAAAAAGTTACTACATACCCTCTTGGCTCTACATGGTGGGCTGTGATATGTTGTAGAGTTTGGCCTCCTCTGGCTCCCCCATGTGGTCGGTGTGATACTGTTCCTCTGACATCCTCTTCTGATGATGCTCCAAAAACCTCAGCCTGGCACTGAAAAACATTGGGCCCTGGAAAACATAAAAAACACATGACTTCAGTTAAAAATAGTGACTCATATTATTGTAAAGTGTATGTTCCAACAATGGATAAGGAAACAGAACAGCAACAATTACCATAATAATGATGGAAGGTTATTTTTAATTTTTTATTTCATTTTAAAAACACAAAACATGACTTTTTTTTAATTTTTGAGACTGATTCCGAAACAGTGCGGGAGACTTTTACCTCCCTGTGTTTTACTGATATATATATATATATATATATATATATATGGTCTATTAAAATCATTAGGTTGTAACATGTATAATAGTCAACACCAGCATTATTAAATCAGACGATGATAGACATTGGACATTGAGTAAAAACTTATACTGAAAGAATAATTTGGTCATGACATTATTGTGACTGATTTACTAAAAAAGAACAAGTGTGAATGTATTTATTGGAAAAAACTAAAAAGACAGTAGACTACCAAGCTATTATAATCACTGAGATGGTCAAATGTTTAAGTCATATGATGTAAATACACTCAATAGTTCATTTCCTGGATTATATGTACACTTTTTATCTAAGCTGAAGCGTAGCATCTGTGTTTAGCTCGTTAGCTGTTATCCCTATTGAAATTTCAAGAGTGTCTGAGGGCTAACACCTGATGCCTGCAGTCTGCAAGAGGCTGTGTTACTTCATTCACACTGTAAGTACGCTTTGTGTCTTGCCCAAGGACACGTGGGCAGCATGGCAGGAGGGGGGAGGAGCATACTACCAACCGTGCTTTAATATTTTACCAAATAGCATCACCCAATATACAGTGGAAGGACCAAAATTCTCAATCAGCTTGTTGCTTTTAAGAAGATATCAACATACCGCTACCCATGTCTATTTCAGGAAAAGGCACACACTTTCTTTGCAACATTATTTAAAACTATACTGTAAATTTTGTGCATCTTTATTTCGTAGCTCGCACTTGAAATTGAACAAAAGCAACCCCCTCCCCCAATTGCAGCAGGCATACTCTTAACACTATAAAGGGGTAGAGCTCAGGGTCCCAAGGGAGATGAGGAGGGCATGTCTCGAAGACTCAAAACAAATTATGCTCTGCTTTTACTAGCGATACCAAATATTATTTATTATTATTTGAAATATGGAGCAAGTACTATGACAGTACTGTATCTACACTGGAAATGTTTTTATGTGTGCTTAAAAACAACCTTAAGAAATATGAATTATATACTTAATCTTTTTTTTTGTATATATGTATATATATAATAATTGTACGATAATTTGGGTCATTTTGAGGATATATGCACCCAGCACATTGATAACAAAATAAACTTAACAAGGCATAACAAAAAGTAAAAATAGCACAAAAACAAACAAACAAGATAAAGAAAAAAACTAAGAGAAACAAGGAGGAGGAAGGGGGGGGTCAATACAACTCAATACTTATCTCGATTTGCATGTGTATTTACATTTTAGGGTTGTTGTATCATATTTCCAAAGCTTCAACCTTCCTTTTTGGGCAACCTCACAATTCCAGTTCTTTGTATATTATATTTATGGCATACTTAATCTAATATTGTAAAATCAGTCTGCCTATATCTGCTTTTAATCGAATGATCTCATATTAATTTGCTCACATTTTAACCTGAAGCTTGTCTCTTTGTGTTTTCTTTGCAGAGGTGACCCCGTTTCCCCCATGAGGTCATTAAAATTGTATTGAACTTGGCGTGCCCAGGACAGGAGGGGGGCGGGGGCCAGTCACTTGGGGCCGAACCCTGCGTCATGGGGCCATTACTTCACCAGATGCACCACACTGGCTTTCAGGCATACAGACAGTTGTTTTGTGTTCCTGCAGATGTCCTGGTTGGCAAAAATGTAGTTTCTCCATCAACCACAATTTAGGTATTTAAGTATTAGCACGGGACTGACTGCAGATTTTCCAATTTAAAATATGTTAAAGGTGTATTGTGAAACTTTTCTAGTGAAGGGTCGGTCAAATTTCTCCTTGAAGATGTTATTGCTTTGTCTGGAATGTTTCACAGTATGGTATTAAACCTTTCTATCTTCATGGAGACCAAACCAGACCAAGTTACAGGTCAGATCTATGGAGAGGTGACCCCGATCACAGTCAGATTGTCTGTTTTTCCAGGTATTTTTGAGCTATAAGACCACCTGTAATTTAGTAAATGTAAGGAAGAGCTTTTTAATGTCATACTGTGAAACATTCCAGGCAGAGCAATGACAAAATCATAGAAACAAGCAGTTGACGGACCCCCCAACCAAAAAGTTACATAGTGAACCTTTAATATGTGTTGTGACCACTCAAATTGTAGTTTAGGTTTCAATGCAATTCATTTTGTAGCCCTGCCACAAACTGTTATTTTATGGTTATTCTAAAATGTAAATGCTAATAATTATAATGTAATATTACTAGTACAATATAACAAAGAGTATTTGTGGGGAAAATATATATATATAGTATATAATAATAATAATCACACATAATAGATTATGGCTAAATCTTAAAGGTGCACTGTGTAACATTTCTGGTGGAGGGTCCGTCATCTGCTTGTTTCTATGGATATGTCATTACTCTGCCTGGAATGTTAAACGGTATGACATTAACCAGCTCTGTGTTACATTTATTCAATTACAGCTCTAAAAAACCCTATGAAAGCAGGTATTCTGACTGTGAGTGTGGTCACCTCTCCACAGGTCTGACCTGTAACTTGGTCTGGTTTGAACTTCCATGAAGGAGAAAAGCATTTGATGCTTGACAATGCACAAGAAAAGTTACACAATGCACCTTTAAATGAGGACTTGATGAGAAAACTAGAATCAGCTGTGTTTCTTTGTGCCCTTGCCCAACCCTAATGACCATGTTAAATACATGCTACAAAATGTTATTTCAAATAAATGGCTGCCCTGTAATAAATAGTCAAATATGGTTTGTAATAAAATGTATGAAGAGAATCACATGAACTGGCCCATACCAGATCTCTTCTGCGTTCTCTGCGCATTGTCAATATCGTAGACTTTTATTTCGTAGCCTTCTGGGATTTCATGCTCCACGAATCGAGACCGAGGTCCACTGGTTGACCGCTTCAGAGACTGGGACGACTCGTGTTGGCGACGCTGGTGAACCCCTAAAGAAAAAAAAACATTTTATTTTACTATGAGAAGCAATTTGTTTATTTATTAGTTTATTATTTTTTATAAATCTATATAGTGAAATGAGAAGGAACTGCAACAATTAGATGTTTGAGTGCAGTAGTCAAAAAGCACTTAAAAGAAATAGCAGTTGTAGCAGTACTTCAACATAATATTATATTAAAGAAAAAACATTGTGTGTAAAATATTTTTCAACAAGGACAACCTAAGAACAAAATCTGCTTTAATCTAAACCAGGTTCATAGCAGGACTGTGCCAGGTTTATTCTTGGACCTGGTATAAAATAGTATTATAACATTACATAAGAAGTTCTGAATCAGGGCCAATACAAAAATGTGAAAAACATTAATTCTAAATACTTTCAACTTGTTTTTGATTAAAGGGCCCATATTGTTTTGTTTCATTCACACATATTTAACACATAAACCCTGCATATTTAGGCTGAGTTCACTCTGTTCTTTGCCCTGTGGTAAAACTCCACATGATATCCCATAAAAACTCCATACACTTTCACTAGAATCATTAATCGCAATTTCAGTCCTGGAATTGTCAGTCTCTACTTAACAAAAGGTAAAAGGTTTACTCAAACAAGTCTGAATGAAACAAAACACAACCTTGTTACCTCATCAAATGTTTTTTGATGACAACATTTTTACATGGCTTAAAGTTCTCAAGTCAATTTTGTGTAATATAGGACTATAGGAATATAAAAACATATTTTATTAATTAATGCACCCCAAAATGTAATCTTTGAGCCATGGTAGAATGGCTTTGGTGTAACCAATATTCATTCATTAGTGTCTCTGTCTTTTGCGCTGACTCCTAAGATAATCTCACATCAGGATGTGTTTGGGCACACGCCCATCTTTATAATTCATCAAATGCATTCAGGGCTCCATTAGTAACTGCTGCCATTTGGTTCATATATAAATGATGTGAGCGGGGCTTCTATCGGGCTCTTAATGCCAGTAGGAAAATCATGTCAGCATTGAATAGTAATGTGTTTTACTGTATGCTATTATAGTGAAATAATGTGTCAGTGTTATGGACAAATGCGTTCAATACAATGTGAGTATGACTACTACTCTGAGGCTTTTACTCCTGTTTTGTTGTTATTTTGAATAATATGTGAATGTGATATTGCAATATTTGACAATAGTGTACTTCTATTTTAAGCCATATTATGCAACATTTAGATTTTTTTTTTTTTATGTAGAAAAAAATTGCCAAAAAAAAAAAACACAAAACACTGAAATATACAGAAGAACATGTGTGCTTACTAGACCATCCTGCTGCTCGTTTCCATGGATATGTTGTTGTTTTGGCTATGTTCCACAGTATGGCATGAACCTTATCTACCATCAAGAAGAATGTTTTGAAGTATAGTTTTAACTTTCTATTTCCGTGGAATCATGCAGTTGAATTTTTTACTATCGTTTTAATCAATTTGAGGTAATAATTCAGACAGTATGTTTTTTTGTTAACTCTGCCTATGTTTGATGTGAACATTTATGGATATTCTCATATTTTCTACTTCAGACAAAGCCATTGAATAGACACTGAAATGCAGGTGTATGATCACAGAGAGAATTTTCTGGTCAAGTGTTGGTCAATTTGAATCACGTGAAGCACTTAGCATGGCTGGCTGCCTGTCTCTCTTTGAAAGTGTTATAGATGATTGGCTTTTTACTATCCTCAATCAACCACAAGTCAGTGGGTCTGAGTACAACAGGGACCACTGTACAGTGTGAACTGACTTGTCCAGATTACTGTTTGTTATTTCTGTGTAAGATAATAGATACACATAATTGCAGCACTTGTAATACTAAACAAATGGGGGTGAAAATATAGTCTTTGTCAATGATATCTGAGGGAAATGTGTTGTTTGGTGCAATCTAGTTTAATGGGAGCGACAGTGGCACAGTATGTACATTTCACCCACTTACCAGAAAGTCTGTAGCTTGATGCCCACTTTCCTTTGTGCATTGTGCATTATGGTTGTGGTTATGGTTTTATGGTAAGACATCTTACTTGCATTATAGAGCTAACAGTTCAAACCTAACCATGTATGTTCCTCTCTATTAAACCTCATTAAAAAAAAATAGGCTGTCTCTATCTCCTGCTCCATCTTGTGATGTTATGAAGCAATAGTTGTCATGTTAACAGCTACATTTTACCTCTTTTGTTCAATAGAGACAGGTAATTCTAGGTTTGAAATCATACAAATGACTCTGGTGCAGGTGTCTTCTGTTTAAAAACATAATCTAGCACTTCCAGTATGACATCACAATGTGGAGGAGAGTATTTTCTGTTTAAGAGAAGACCTCCACCTAAATATGCAGGGTTTTTTGTATGAATGAAACAAAACACAAGTCCGGGTATGTTTGTGATGAGGAAACATTGTGACATTATGAGCCCTTTAAAATGTGTTCCTTTATCATGGATAGTCTAATAGTATACAAATAATAATATAAATAAATGATCACTTACCTGTGGGGCCTCTCTTTTTGGAGGACCTCCCGCTGCGCCCAGCACTGAGCCCTGATCCACTCCTGTCACTGGCTTCACTGTCCCTCTCCCGGAGCATACTTCCATATCCGCTGCTCACTGTGCTATTCCTGTTGGAGAAATACAGCGATGTCTTCCCCATAGCAGGAGGCAGATCTCCACTTAACACACTGGTCGTATCGCTGGCGTAGCCATTTGGACTCGGAAGGCGAGGTGCTGTGACTTGGCTGTACGGTGATGGGATCGTGCTCATTTGATCCAGTGAACTTGGACTTCCGGAACGATCTTTTAGGAGTTCTGATATTGAACCACTGACAAATCCTTGGATGGCAGATTTACTAGAGGAACATGTTGAACTTTGGCTTGGCGTCCTGCTAAGAGATTGGTGAGATCTTGGAGGAGAAGATGACAAAAAAGTTGACATGCGCTCAAAGCTAACAGTTTTGCCGTCTGGGGAGAGGCTGGCGCTGCGGTTGATTGAAGATTGATGAACATTCTTATGTGGTAAACTCATGTTCTTGATGCTTGGCGCGGATTGTCGACGAACTTTGGGGCTAGCGATCTTTAGCTTATCTTTAGCTGAAAGTTTAGACTGCTTTCCATACTCAACAGTTGCATAGTTTTGATCAAGCTTTGCGTTCCTCTTTGGGCTCCTGCTAGTCCTCGGTAAAGTGTAGTCACCTTCACTGTGAACACGATAACTTTTACTCGCACCATTTGAACTAGACTTGGAGCTAGTACTGCTACTGCCGTGCTCAAAAATTGGAAAATCTCTTGGGTTACGTTCAAGAGAGTTTGTACGGCTAACTAGCTGCTCAAGTTTGACACTAAACAGTCTACTTGTGTCATCGAAAGGCGACTTGGACCTACCGCTTTCAAACAAGGATGGCATTGCTTTTTTTGGAGTGAAACTTGCATCTTTGTTCGTGTGAGAATACTGCCGACCCTCCCACTTGTCTACTGTCACCCTAGGGCTCCCGGGTGTGGATGATGTCACCTCTATTGGGTCTTTGAGGTTGCCCCGGTGACTGTCATTGGATAAGACTTTGGAATCTTGCCAACCCCTGGGCAAAGTTCCTGATTTGAAGACAACGGGGGTGGTAGCGCCTTGACAACCAGGTGCTACTCCAGTTCTCAGGGGAGTGATTTCGTCAACAGGGCAATCACGCCGGGAAGTCTTCGGGGAATTATTGGCACAGACACTGTCCGCATCGGTGGGTTGGCTTTTCTCTGGACTTTTAGACATTTTGGTACATGTTTTGTTGTCTGTTGAATTTATTTTTGAATCGTCCTTTGCACCACTACCACTTTTTGTCTCTAGGGGCTTACTATGCTCCTTGCATTTGACCTCTTTCTTCTTTATCTCTTTCTCCAACTTAATCTCATTTGAATGTTTCTCCTTTTTGGCACTCTCTTCTACCTCCTCAATGTCTGTATTCATTAGCATTGGGTTTATAAATGAAGGTAGTGACCCCTTCTCTGGTCTTACGATTTCTTTTGGAGTAGCTTCTGTTGTAGCATTCGCATCATCCCCCATCACATTGCTAATTATTCTTATTGGCTGTGAGCTACCTCCGCCTTTTTGTCCGTTCTGTGAGGCATTTTGAAAACAAATAATATTACCAGTGGTGCTAACGCTACTCATACCCCCACTTATTGTAACCTCTTCTACCATTGAGAACACAATTTCATCTTGTCCTTTCTGATCAAGCGGTTGTTTGACAGTTACAGTGATAGTTGCTTTCATTTCTTTGTTTTCTGTTGAAGGTACATTCGGCAAAATGTCCCCTAAGACCACGCTTGTAGTTTGAGAATTGGGGCATGAGGTAGATGGTGAGTTACTTTTGCCAATTGGTGACGCTCTTTTGTCCGGTTTGTACCATTCACAACTTTCAGCAGGATCTTGAGAACTTTTGGGCTGATTCATAACACTAAGACCATCTGCTTTCTTGCTAATTTTGTGGTTTTCTGAGTGGCGAGTTGCATTTCGTGTCAGTGTTTGGTTGAGCAACTCTTCACCTGAGCTTGCAGCGCTACACTCTTCGCAGTCATACAAGCCTGAGTCCTCTCTTTGAAAGCTGTCTCCATTGAAAGCAGCATCAGCTTCTGCACCAGGCTTCTGATTGGTGGTTTGACTCAATACCGCCGCCTTTGAAACCCTAATGTCTACATTATTTTTCACGGGTTCTAACTTCACCGCATTTTGTACCAGTTTTAACGTTTCTGCTGTCAACTCACTCCCGTCAATGCAACCCAAGCGCTCTTGAAGTTCGGCAAACGTATCACATTTTAAAGTTTCGATCACAGCTTCCTGTTTTTTCTTGTCGCCATGGAGCTGTGGGATTTTGAGAAGTTCTTTGAGCAAAGCTGTAAACTCCGGGTCATCTACCTCAGTTTTACTTGGGTGCAAAGACGGAATAATTGGCACAAATTCCGGTTGGTTGACTCGTGGTGCAGCATTAGCTTGGACTAGCCCCCGCGAATCGATTTGAATGACGGTGTCGCAGGATTGCTCACTGCCTGATTGTTCATCATAAAGTCTACCACGGAAACGGAGAGGGCGCACGTCGGAGTCCACTTCCTCTGTGGAGTGGAACGCTCGGAGCGACAGTGTTTTAGGAGCTTTCTTCTCTCTCGTCAGACTTCGGGCGTGAGGTGAGCAGGACCCAGACTGCTGTGGGGCAAAAATCATAAACACATTAGTGAAATAATAACAGAAATATTAATCATCTTTGTTTTAAATTGTCATTAAATTATGACAATGGTACAAACTCATATATTATACAGACTCATAACACATAGAGTGAAGCTTTTAAGCCTATACAAGACAATGCAAATCATGCATAGAGTGACTTGGTACCTTCTCTCCTTTGTGTCCTGCGTATTTTGGCGGCGGTTTGAATGGTGGACAGAGTCTCGTCCAGAAGAGACACTGAGTCTGAGACTTGAGCCACGACCGCTGTGTGGCAGTTCACGTGACCCAAAGACTCTCGGAGGAGCAGAGACAGCTTACTGCTTCTGTGGACAAACATGGATATTAACAATTATCCAAATACATTTTTAATGAATGATCTATAACATTTCATTAGTGAAGATTTATTCTTACTCAACATGATAAAAGAGCAAGACAACAAAAATACTTGAATAGTCAGCTGTATGTATGGTGCATGGGGTCATATGTAATTCATACAGTGCAATAGACAAAGAATAAAAAGTGGAATCTATATTTATCATAGAATAATAAAATAAGTGTATAACTAAAATGCATCCTCCTCTGTGTCAGAAATGTACTTCATGTATATCAAAAGAAGGATGTAAAACTTGGCATAAACATCATAAGAAAATTGGGACTAAATCCTGAACTAAACCTGGACTAGACCAGAAATAGACAAGGAACTGGACCGGACCAAGTGTAGGTCAAGACTAAACTGGGCTCAAACCAGGACCAAACCAGGAGTGTGAATGCTTGCGTCTTACTTGTTGGGGATAGTCCTCTGTCCATTGAGCAGAGACAGCACAATGGGGCTCAGTTCAGCGTATGGATATCTGTTTTTGCTATACCTCATCCCACGACACACGTCTATCATCGTCAGTTTAGTTGGTCCACGAGAACCTGAGATAACAGAAGAGAGTGCATTTTAACCAACTATATCTCACTAAAATATAAAAGTACATTAGTTATGGGACTTCTAATGGGACTTAAAAGTTTATCTTAACTATTAAAGGTGCACTATGTAACTTTTTGGGGGGAAGATGGTGGAAAATTCATCAACATCTCCACTGAGCCCTTTTCAGTTTTTGCTTTTCCTGGAATGTTCCACAGCCATTAAACTTGTCTGTCTTTTTTTTAACAATTAAAGGTGTAATTGCATTCTTTGAGTGGGCATGCCTTTCCGGTCCTGACCTGTATCGTAGCCACCTTTTTGTCTCCATGCAAACCGATATATTTAAAACCATGCTGGACAACATTCTCAGCAAAGCTCTAACTTCTCCATGGAGACAAGCAGGTGGAGGACCCTCCCATGGAAAAGTTACACAGTGCCTCTTTAAGACTGTAACTTATATCCAATAAAGTAAAATATTGCTATTAAGTATGAAACCTTTTCCAATGGTGCTGGTCTCTGTGCGCGGGGGCTGGACGTGAAGAGTGAAGAACATGATGGAGCTGTGGGACAGGTACGTGACAAAGTCTGTGTGACGTCGAGCTGTGATGGCGGCATCCAGCAGAGAGGCGGCTCGCTCTGCTGTTGGCGCCTTCACACGATTGTGGTTACGAACCTAAAGGAGACACAAGAGATAGAGACGTGGTAGGCAATTTGTCAAAGGGCCCATATTACACTGTTTTCTGATCTATGTCATAATATTGTTTCCCCACCTAAAACAGACCTGGAGTTGTGTTTTGTTTCATTCATACATGTTTAACACACACCCTGCATATTTAGGCTGAATTCTTCTCTCAAAAAGTGCTTCACTGTGTTTTTAAACTGCATACACCTTCACTAGAATCATTTGGGTAATTTCAGACCTGGATTCAGACCAGTCTCTACTAAACAAAAGGGAAAAGGTAGCTATTAACTGGAAACCTACTTCAATGAAAAAATCTAAGTCTCGTTTTACTATTAACTGTAAATGTAATGCTCATACCTGCACTCCACACACCGGGTCCTCTTGCAGTTTTATGTGCGCTGTGGGACTGTCCTGTATACTGCCCCCTGTTGGTAGCATCTCTCCCAGCAGGTCCCTGAGTGTGTCCTCCTCTCCACAGCACAGCTCTAAGGCAGACACCGAAACACTGAGGTCTGTCCAGGTCTTCTCTCTACGTCGCTCGATGGCAGCGTACAACCAGGAGATGGCGCAAGGAATGAGCCCCAGCTTCTGGGGGCTGTCATCACTGCCCACCATACTAGACCAAGAGCCTGGGGGGCAAAACACAGAGAGATTGAAGTAACATTAAATATGACAGAGAATTCAATGGATATGGCCAGAATAATGTATGAATTCTGGATTCCTATGATCTTTTAGTCATCATTACTTCATTAGTTTCAGTGTTTCTCATTCCTACATTTTTTTCAGACTATGGTGGCACAAATACTTTCTATATAAATTATTTTCTTTTATATAATTTGTGGAGTTTGAATGTCACTTATTGGCTGTATTTCATATTCAAGCAGGTTTTACTGAACAGTTACATTTTATGTTAATGACAACACAAGGTTGACATCAAAGTCAAATTTTCTTATGCCAATGTCTAATCCATGTTCTTTTTAGACTCTGGGGTAGTTTTTTTAGATTATGGGGTGCCACCAGAGTCTATTTAAATAATGGGAAACTCTGTTTATAAACTATAATATATATCTAAGCTTTGTTCAGATATATATTTAAATGTTTTTCCTCTGAGTAAAATTAATGCAAAATACTACCAAAAAATAATGATATCTTGCTTGTTGCTTATTCCTGATGCTTTATTTACCCCATAACTGGCATAGCTGGTGTTCTTGCATCATCATTTAAACTGGGCCATTCACGTAATATTAGACACCATATGATATTGCAATGTTTCTCAAACTGTGTGGTAAGCTTGCTTTTTATAGCAGTGTACTGTAAAAAGTAAAAACATCCATGCCCATTGAGCTACCCCATTTACCAAAAATAGGACATGACATATTGCTATGCATCCATATACAGTAGATATGCTTTCTGGACCTGATCGATCTAATACCTTTTGCTCTTTTGCCCTACATTTGTACTGAGTTATATGGCCCAGTTTCACTCTGTTTTGTCATAGTACCAACACACTAATTGAATGAGTGAAGGAGAATTGGTTTAGTCCAGTTAAAGCTGCCTGCCTTTACTCTGAGCGAGTAGTATTCTGTGTAGGAGATTGATATGCTCTGGCCGCAGGCCATACTGAGACTGGGACTGGCTCGCTAATTCAATCATGTTTTATACCGATAGTGGCCCATGTGAAGGAGAGACCGCCCGATTGTAGATGTGCGTGTCCAGTTGCCGTTGCTGTTGCTAAGTGCTCCCCTCCCTGTGACTGCATCCTGTTACAGCCCATTTTGTTTATGCTGTGCTCCTAGTGTCCAGCCACAGTGAAATGAAATAAAATGTGATTCTGCTACAGCATTCTGAGCTGTCTGTCAGAGCGGCTTTCTCAACACAACACTTCTATAATTCATGAGCAGGCTTTTATTTAAATTATAAAAGGTGACAGAGAAGTGGAGGACAGAGATGATGTCATTTTAGAAAACGGATAATATGTGAACATGCTGATGAAACAGAACAGGTCGCTTTCTATTTTTTTTTAAATAAATTACACTGTGCTTAATCGTTCAGATTTCTATATTGATTTTAATCAACTGATGAACAAAATGGCTTCATGGGTATTCATCAGGAGAAGTTAGGGTAACCTATAATTGAATTGGTCTTAACATTAGGGCTCAACTTGATGGAGGATAGGTTTTTTCTAAAGGTTAACTTGGTTAATATTAGCATTTACCAACAAAATGTAAGCTAAACCTCTACCTAAGAAATATTACTAAACCAAAATATGAAAGAAGCTGGCTTTTAGTAATATTTTATCACACAAATTGGTTACATTTGAGTTATGAGTCATTGGACATAATTATTCACTTGATATGACAAATTCCTGATATTTTAGCATTCCTAAAGCCATGACACAGTGTATATATTTCATTTTATAAACAACAATTCCTCTTAATTTTCACTGACATAACTACAATTTAATGTATAGCTATAATGTGATCCATGTCAGCCATTTACAAAGACTGGAAGGTAGATAAGACAATAGAATTAAAAGGCCGGAGATGAATATCATGATGGATACGAGATGGCACCATTCCCATAGTGCACAGACAGGGATTTTAAGTGACAGAGAAGTAAATGATAGCAGTATAGCAGGACAGACCAGGGGGGTGGGGCATGCAGGGGTGTGGAGGGGCATGAGGAGGAGGTGGGGGTGCAGGGAGTGGTTAAAAGCACTCTCATTTGGGATGTTAACCCGTAGACCCTCTCTGTGTCTAGTTACTCACCCACATCAGAGCAGCCCAGGGCCAGCACACAGCCATCACTTCCACTCAGTACACAGCGGATGACGTCAGGCAAAACTCCCGCGCAGAGATCAGCCTGGTAACAAAAGAACAACGGTAGCTCATGATTCAAGCAGTATAAGAAATCAGAGAGGAGTGGAGTGGGTGTTTTGTAAAGATGGCTTTCCCTAGTGTCAAGATGTATTAGTCCCTTTGGCAAAGTTGTAATCTTATTGTATTTGTAACTGAAATTAATCCTTGAAGATCTTTGTTAGAGAGAAATTTGAACAAGATCAGTTTTGTGAAACCTGTGGAGTTGAACAGTGGGTCATGCCTGGATTACAGAGCACACACTGAGTAAATAATAATGTAAGCTCTTATAGTACATGAAAACAAGAGGAAATGAAAGAAACTAAGTATGACACCCTATAAGATTACCCTTCAGATAAACTCAAATTATTTAAACTACACTATAATAATCATGGTATGTAACAGATTATGTATTATGATGTGCAAATTAAGGAATTATATAGCCGTCATGTTCCAAATAGGAAGTTCGCATGCAGGCTCTTTCAGCTCCTACTGACCCTGGCTTCCATTGAGTTACATGGGAATATTGTGGCCCCTCTCTCTGTAACTGCTGCAGTGAGCCTTGTCATTTTGGTCTTAAAATGTTTGTATATTAACCTGCTCTACATGATCCTGGTGTGTTTCTTTTGCTATTTTGATGGTTTAAAAAATCCAATTCCTAATAGAGTTCTCCCCTGTAATCGCCAGCACCACGAGCTTCATTTGACTGGAGCCGAACCCCATGAATGACGTCACACTTGCTTAGTCTGCTTCTTTAAACAGTCTATGGTAGTGTCTGGGTCAAGCCCTGGGGTCTCAAAATGGCCGCCCATTCAAGTCAATGGGCCGAGCTCAAAGGTGCGTGACTTCAGATTAGCCTTTAAATGAGGTATTTCCAGTGGCTGTGGGCTGATTGAGCATGCGCAGTAAAGCTCTTTTCTCCTGAGGGCGCACACAAATCCATGCGAGCGCATGCACGGAGCGCAGTCTCGTGTACCTCGTGATTGCTTTGACCAATCAGAGTGAGACAAGCTAGAGCAGAGTGGAGCCGGACCTAACGATTATAAAGCGTTTTTTAAGACAACTGAAGGGTTTTGAGCTGAGAAAAAGTTTATGATATAAAAATAGGTAAAAATTGCCACAAAATCCAACATTTTTGAAAGTTGTGGGTGCCCCGTCAGTCGAACATGAGCAGTTTGTGATTATATTGCGTTCTATGAGTAAAAATCCTGTCTCAGCCGAACTGATTTTTTCCACTGAAGTTCCAGTGAGTAGCCACTATGCCAACTGGAGGCAGCTACAAGCAAACAATACCCTATCCAGTTATTTTAATAGATCTATGGTCTGGGTACACCAGTCAACTCTATTACCCAAACACATGCACAATTGGCTAATCCTCCATTTGTCTATGCATGATGATGTATGTTGTATGTATTTGTAGTTTTAAAGCTCTCTAATTAAGTCTGTAATTTTATTCACACTTGCCTACTAAAATGACTGACATTTTCTGCAATTGGGATGTAAGCTAACTAATCATCTGTCACTTAGAAAAAAATAAGTGTATAATTATTTGCTTGTTGCTGCCATGTTTGTTTTGTTAACAGACCATGGGTTTTACTGATTGGCTAATCTACCTGTTAATTAAGGCCTTCTGAACTTACTGAGATAATGCTAAATCTTGCACTTCTTTGTACAGGATAGAAAGAGGGGCATGGGGGCACTTCTGGCTCCATTCTCTCTCTCTCTGTCTCTCTCTCTCTCTCTCTCTCTCTCTCTCTGTGATTGCAGCAGTGAGCGTTGTCATTTTGGTCTTAAAATGTTCGTATTAACCTGCTCTTTATTTTGCTATGTTGTCTGTAAATAAATTCCTATTCCTAATATGAATCTTGGCTCCAAATTCACCCCCTATAACTGCTAGCCTCATGAGCTTCTTTTGACTGGAGCTGAACACTGTGGGTGATGTCACATTCACTCAGTCCACTTCTTTATACAGTCTATGGTACTCTTGTTTGGTCAGGTAATATTAACTGTACCAAAAAATAGCTAAATATAGACACTGCACAAGTATCTTATTTTTACCTGGCTGGCGTGTTGTGGGTATGTGGCATCGAAGTTGAAAGTTTTGACCAGGCTCTTGTCTCGACCCAGGGTCAGAGTGCTGTAGGGGTGGCCCTTATAAAACGGCTCCATCACTGTGACTCTTCTCCGGGACGAGTCGACCTGAAGAATTGAAGGAGGCCCTGGACTCTGAGGCAGGTCTGGATTCACACGCAGTACCACTCTAACCTATGTGCAGAAAGAGAGCAACAACAGGAGGGATTATTTATTATACCCACAACAATACAGATTTTTCATTGTTTTCGGTTTTGTTTTTGGTTATGAAAGATTAAATGTGCTCTGTGCATAATAGCCTGTGGGTAACTCAGTGTTATCTTCCTATTGCTGCTCTTATCTCTGTGGGGTTCATGCAGAGATGCAGAGACAAAATTAATGAATATGTAAAGCTCAATGATATCACTGATGATGTTAAAGACTTTACAAATTAATTAAATAGGCTACTTCACTAACACAAAATTTTGAAGCATAATAAATCATAAAAAATAAACAAATATATAATGACACGGTGTAGAAAACAAATTAAAGAGAGGTCAATGAGGTGAATAATTCACTGGAGGATGCTTCTGTAAGTATAAAGGGAGACCTCTGTCTCTCAAAACAAATGCTAGCTTTTATTAAAATATAACATTACGATGTTGCTGGACTGTATTGGTTTTTGAATCTATATTCATCAATAGTGATTTTCATGTCTTGAAATCAAGTCAGTGCAAAGGAAAAGACTTTTTCCAAAAGCATAATTTGTGTTATCATTAAAGACATGTATAGTACACCCTATCCTTGGCAATCTTCACAGTTAAAGCTAACCAAAATTCCTCTGCTACTTGCACTGTTCTAAATACAACATTGCCATATTACATACATATTACAGTGTATAAAATGGCATATGTACTGACTGTCCATGTCTTTGGTATTTATCTATATGTAAACATATATTTATTGTTGGCATTAACAATCAAAACAGGTAACATTCAGCAAAGTCTGAGAAACCTGAGCAATAACTCTGAGGATTCTGGTAAATGGCAAAAAGGATTAGGATTGATGGGGAGATGAAGACAGAGCACTTATGTGATTGGATTAGGGAGGTGGATTCCTGTAGACTCTGGTTAAAAGTGTCCTTATCCCTCAAAGACACCTGATGGAGAAGACTGGGACACCATAAAAAATATTGAAGATTTGCAGTAAGAATGAAGGCCAATGTGGAGTCATGCAGAGAAATAAACCTACTGTATGTGTGGGAAATAATTATCAACATTATAGTGTAAAAAGATATAGACGTTAAATGAATGGTACAGATGTTTCTGCAAAAAGATATATAACACACACTTCAGCTTTAGTCCCATGGCAACGGAGTGGTTTTTGAAATGTATTGTTTCATGGGATTTTAACCAACTAAGAAGTTCAGCATGTGCAGTTCAAAGGACACAAGTAAGGGAGTGTTGGATTGTGTGAAATGAACTGTTTGATTTTCCCGTATCCATGGAGCAAATATGGCAGAAGACCTTCCAGGGAAAATACTCTGAGGCCTTCCAGTGGAAATACATAGAGGGAATGGCCCATTTCATCACCAACCGAAACACCAGAGCCAAGTAAGAGGGAGGCCTTTCCTGTTGTGATCACCTTGTTCCCACCTGGACTCTGCTGTGAAGCTGCAGAACACAAAGGAGAGACTTTTGGCTCTTCCTCTCCTCAAACTGTCCTGAAACAAGATCTGCTGACCATGCCTGACCAGTCCTTCTCTTGAACTGCACTGAGGCCTTTGACTGAGACACAAAGGCGACTGAGAAGCGCCTTGGAAATGTTGCAGCAATCAATATCAATAAAGTACCTCTCTCTCATAGCTGGTGACCCTTTTGCTAAATGTTATGTGTTCATTGTGTAGACTTTTGATCTTTTTATGTGGTTTGTGTTTTTTATCATGTTTGTATTGAATGAATGAGTCGTACACTTAGGGTTAGCCTGCTCCTGGTTTGAGTCACTGTCAAGTCTAGTTTAATTTTAGATATTAGGATGGTACTTGGAAAACCAATTATTTTCTTGTATCTGTATTTGAGTATCCCGGGACACTGGAAATTAAAAATGAAATTACTCTTGTTACTCTGACAATGAAACAAAACACAAACCTTTACATCAAATTTACTGTACAAAACACTAATCTGGTCAGGAGTCGGATCTGCAAGGCTTCAAGTATACAGTATTGTACCAGCCAGTCCAATCATACAGGAATTATATTACACCAGAATGACCTCATCTCTTCACTGACAATCCGAAAACCCAAGAGCCATTCTCCATCTGCCACACTATATCTTCCCCAAGAGTAAAGATTTTCTCATAATTTTCATAACTTATGCAGCGGATGGATCCCTAACTGTATTGAATAAGTGTCGAAGTAAATTTATGAGGCTAAATTATTCAAGGCAACGTTCGTACTATATGTAATGTTAGCAGAAACTGGGCAGGTGCGTCCGGGGCCTTTAAGTGTAACTCTAGACCGAACACAGGAGTCCATCTCTCAGACAAGGGGAGGGCGGCCATATTGATCCCCCGGGCTGGTCCCAGGGGAGATGAGGGCAGCAGAGGAGAAGAACAAGATGGAGGCATTAGCCCACATTACAGTTCATCCTAAAGGAGGAGGGATATAAGATCTGCTTCAAATGGGCCGTGATCGCTTTACAATGGCAGGAACATTTCTGTAGAGTTGTTTTGTGGGAGAGTATATCCTGTCAGACATCCTATCAGACCTAACTTATTTAATTTTAAATCTTCCATTGAGGAAATCTTACTCTTAAATGGAAATGGCCACGTTACATATCAGATCTGTGGAGAGGTGGCCCACCTTCTACTTGAGATGCAGTATTTTTTAACAATAAAAACACCTGTAATTGAATAAATAATCAAATAAATGCAAGATAGATAAGTTTGACATCATACTGTGGAACATTTGAGGCACTAGAAAATACATAGTGAACCTTTAAATCGGAAACACATTAAATTATTATGTCTTTGTTTTCCATCTATATGTTTTATGTTGGTTGAAAGTATGTCCAAACAATTTTTTATATTTTTTCCCTGTATGAAGAATAATCCACAATATTTAATTTAACTCTTATTTAAAGGATAACTTAAACATGCCATTGCAAAACAGATTATACCAGAGTTCAATAATTTTCTACCAGTTATTGTATTATGGGTCATAGAGTTAAATGGCAAGATAACCACAAGGCTCAAACATGTATAACATTCACTAATTGTAAATATAGATAATGCATAATATCTCTATATGGGAGAACCAATTATAAAGGGGTTCATTGATAAAAATTTTGTCTATAATAGAGATGTATTACTTTGATCTAAAAAAAACAAAAAACATACCAAAATCACGTTGGTGTCCTCTCAACAGGAACATGTGATTAGAGACAGCAGGAAAGACAAGCACAGCCAAAATAACTGTAGTGAACCTGCTGGTGTGAAGAAGAGGCCAAAGTCATAGGACCATAGCACTGTATGCAAATCACTGTTTTCACGGTTTTATTTTTTTATACGAGTGCTCACCACTTTATTGATTTATTTGTAGTAAATGATTTAATAGACAGTTCCTTACTAACTAACTACTACTACTACTTACTAACCTTAAGCCTTATTTGTTATGACTAATTATGGCAAAAAAAATACATTGAAATGCAGACAAGTAAATGTAGATAAGACAAAATAGCTGGATGAAGTAGAGCTAAATGGTCAATGGTCACATTTTTGTATAGCGCATTTCCACCTAGGTTAGTCCTAGGTTAGTCCTGGGTTAGTCCTGGGTTAGTTCTCGGTTAGTCTTGGTTTAGTCCTGGCTCAGTCCGTGGTGTATTTCTTCTGCTAATGCCTGTGGAGTGATGACAGTAGAGTCGTGTCTGTGAATTCATATTCGTTCTGAAGAAAGTGTAACCATTTCATTTCATTTTGTGATTGTTATTCTTGACGTTGTAATTTTTCAGTTCTTATTCTGATGGATGCTTCAGTTAGAATGCTTTTAATCTGTGTGTGATTTATCAAGAGCACGGGCAGGTAACAGGTGTAATGTTAACAGGTCCAGGCGAGTGCGGGTTTAACTTTGATATAACCACAACGGGCAGCTGTGGTGCTGTACTGTGCAGGTGTGGGTGGATGTGAGTCTCCAAAAATGGATCCATGCAGGACTCTGGGGCAAGGTGAGCTAAGTGTCTTACCCAAAGACACAATAACAGCATTCATCTGTGGGAGCTGGAATCGCACCACCAACCTGTGGACCAGTGGATCTGACTGCACAATGATGCTTATATCGAGAGTGGGATTCGAACCGCCAATCTTCGGATCAATGGACAAACTCCAGCTGAGCTACTGTTAGTGGTTATACGCTTTACCTGAAGAGTGAAGAGTCCATACAGATGGCCTCATCATATGACAAATTATAGTAATTAGTATCAGAGTGGGATCAAGGCAACAAGATCATATTTGGTGACTACAGTACTTCTTAGATAATTATTTATCTGGTATAGTTATAGTAGTTTATGAGCCTCAAACTAAACCTTGAGTAAATCTGTCTTTTAGTACAGTATATAAATGTATATATTTTTAACTGGTGATACCTTGCCAACACTGGGCGAGTCTTTGGTTCTGGTGGCAGCTTGCAGCAGGCAGGAGGGGGCCGCGGGCGGGTTTTTCTGGATCACGTCTCTGAAGCAGGTGGAGAACTGAGCGGGAGCAGAGTCAGACGCATGGCCTTTTTTCCTTAGTGTCAGATTGAGCTTTTCTGCCGCTCTATAGGAAGAAGGGAAGGAGTGAGGGAAAGAGAGAGGAAGTGGGAAAGGGAGAGTGTGAGTGAGAATGTTTTGAGAGCGATAGAGAGGGGATGAGCAAGAGGGAGAAAGTGAAAGAAAGAAAGAAAGAAGAGAGGGGAGAGAAAGAAAGGGAAGAGAGAGAGAGAGGGAGGGAGGGAGAATAGGGGTAGAAGTGAGAGGGAGGGAGGCATAGGGAAATGGAAAGGCAGGAGGGATAGAAGGTGATGAGAGAGGGATAGAAAGAGAGAGTGAGAGTAAGAGGGAAGTAAGGGAAGGGAGTAAAAGAAATGGAGAAGGAGAGAAAGAGAGAAAAAGGGAACAGAGAGAGAGTGCAAATAAGATAGTGAGAGCGGGAGGGGGTGAGATGGTGAGGGAGAGAGAGAAAAAGACAGGAAAAAAACAAGGGAGAGAGATAGAGAGGGATACACAAAGAGGGTGAAGGGGGAGGGATAGTGAAGAATAGCGATAAAGAAGGGAGGGAAGGGAAGCCGAGGGAAAACAAGAGAATGATAGAGAGCAGTAAAGGGAGTGATGGAGAGAGAGAGAGAAAGTGATGAGATAGCAAAAGAGAGTGCAAAAGAGGGTACAGGATGGTGAAACAGTAAAAGAGAGAGGGAGGAGAAAAAGATGAGAAATATTGAGCGAGAGGGAGAGAGTTGAGAGAGTTCATTTAAAACAGGATGCTATGGACACACACTTGACTGACAGGATTTAAACATACTTAGCCAAGAAGGACATGGCTGCCGTATTGGCGATGGTCACCACTCTAGTAATATGAGGCAGTTTGGAGTTTATCTGCACCGCCCCGGCCTCACCACTCGACTTGTCTGCAGTCTGTGGAGGAGAGAAAGCTCGTTATAGAAATCCAAAACTGTAATTGCACTTTGCACCACTCCAAAAGAGGCTATTATGACGGGAGTTAGCAAATAGCTGGTGTGAGTCCAAGTGGAGCATCTATGAGTAATGTGATTGGGTTAGAGTGGTATTTTGGTACATGTGGAGTCTGCTTGTCTCAAATGCGTGGTTCAAACCATAGACTGTATAAAGAAGTGGTCTAAGGGAGTGTGGCATCACCCATAGCTTTCAGGTTCAGCCAGATGAAGCTCATGGTGCTAGCGGTTATAGGATCGAATTTAGAGCCAGGTACATACTAAGAAGAGGAATCTATTTATATACAGAATAGTGAAAAAAACACCAGGATCATGCGGAGTGGCTTCATACAAACATTTTAAAACCAAAATGACCAGGCCCCCATGAACACAGTGGCAGTCCAACACTGATTTACTCCCCGGGCGAGATGGTACAAAAACAGAATATAATTTGTTTCTCAAACTGTGGTATGCTGGGTATTTGTTTAATTTTATACAGATCTTTTAATATATTTTAGTCCTTCTTTTGGTTAATCCTCATTCAGCTATCCATAATTGTCTAATTTTAAACCTTTTTTAGATATTGTGGTACTAGCCTGATTCGTCAGCCAGTTTCATTTTGTAGAAACCATCTGACCTCGCAGTGTTAGAATTCGTTCGCTCGAGGGTAGGTGGGTACTTTTTTAAATTTAACCAATTGCTGATATTTGGTCGTGACGTATGTAATGCGCCGCTAAAAAAGGGCAATAATGTTTTTTCCCTTAATAAAATTCTCAAAACATTCTCTTTATTCTGGCTTTAAATCCTCGATCCCGGGAATCGTTGTCAACACAGAATGTATGGCTCTTCGCTGATTGGCTGGTGCCTGAACTCACACTTCTGGGGTTTTTGCAAACTGTATAGTGTATTCCACTGGAAAGAAACGCAATTGAGCAGAGGCACAAGGTGGCGCCAGCCTGGTTATTGTGGTACTACTTGAAAGGACAAATATTATTGTAGGAAATACTTGGTGTTATATCCAACGTTTTGAGATCATTTTCCTAATCGAAAGATATATTATTTAGATTTAAATTGTTAATCTCTATGGCATCAGTCTTAATTTTTCATCCTTCTGAAATCCATGAACAGCTGTTGCCTGCAAAAGAAGCCGCAACAAATGATCTACCTCCTATAGCCCTTCCCTCTGCCTCCTCTCACATCAACAATCCTCAGTCTAGACTGTCTGGCAGCTTTGACCTCAGCATCCTTCTTACATTCACTCTCCATCCCCTTCTATATGTCCCAACCATGACACGCTGAAAAATCTTGTTATGAGAACACAAAATAACAACTTAAAAATTGCACAAATTAATAACAAAAATGAGGCTACTGAATTTAAAGAAAAATAATATACATGATTATTATTTTTTACATGTTTTCATTGTTAAAATGGCTATTTCACATTTTTAACCCTACATGTATGACTGTAGGAGTTGAAAGGCAGAGCAGCAGGCAGAGATGGGGGTAGGTGAAAAAGTATTGTATTGATTTTTTAAATTCAATTTATGCCTCAAATGCAAGACAATACATGATTACTTACTTACATCTGCATGCATACATCTAATTCTGAGTATAGCTAATAATGGAACATAGTTATTAAATGGTTAAAAGCGCATACGTTTCATGTTGAATGTATACTCAATTTGAAAAGATTTGAAAATATATAAAATAGTACCACAGAAATTACAAACATTGCCCTCTATTTTTTGTCAAAAGTCCTTAAAATGGCGGCCATGACAAAGAAAGCCATTTGACTGAAACCCATGAATATAATGCATAACTAATAATAATTCTAATCTATTAATGCTGGTATTATATTATTTAAGCCAGTTTGACTAATATTTATAATACACTATATGCAGCTCTTTATTATGACCAAAAGTGTCTGCAAAATAAGACTAGACATGAACAGTTACCATAGTACTTAATTGAAAGGCTAGCAGGTTAATTAGATAAAAGGCAGACTCATTGTATGCTTGGTAGTATACTGAATGAAGAGCCCCTAATGGGTGATCAAATTAGATGCATTTTGGGATTGGGACAGTCAGATACTTCCCTTTTTTCTTTGGAACCAGACCAGCGTTTAAACAAAGACTTTGAGTATCCAGCCAAATCAGGCGTCAGACATGTTTAGCAGCCAGTGCAGTGCCATGGCTCTGAAGCTCAGCCAACACACACTCAATAATGCATCATCTTAACAGGCCCATCTAAATGATTATTTCAGAGCACAGAATTGAACATGGACTATTAGCCAGAGGTGGAGAGAGCACTCATTTTATTATATTGTTAAATCAAAATAATATCAATGTTAAATGTATGTTCAAGTAGGCTAGTCTAGTTTAAAGGTTCAATATTATGCAAAATTGACTCTGATTCATAATATCGCTACCTCATCAAAAACATACCTGGAGTAGTGTCTTGCTTCTTTCACACATGTTTGACCAATCCTCTATTACTATTCTGTCTATCCCAAAGCTCAAAATGCTCTGTTCCACCTTGTGATGTCATATAGTGGTAGTTTTAAAGTTAACAGCTACCTTATCTTTTGTTCAATAGAGACCAGCAATTCTAGGGCTGAAAATGTCTAAATGATTCTAGAGAAGGTGTATGGCGATTAAAACACAGTGGAGAATTTCCTGTATTGTCAAATGACCTCACAAAGTGGAACAGGGTGTTTTCTATATATATTGTGAAGAGGAAACAACATTATAACAAATCAGAAAATAGTGTCAAAAGTATTATTCTTCAAATAATTTATGTAAATATAATCTGTTAGTATCCACCTCTGACTACATCTCATCTATTCTAGGCAGTGACTTCATTTTCAACCCAGACATTGGCTATTGGACTTCCCATGACCCAATAATAAAGGTAATCTCAGAGCCACGCTGACGGCACTGAGGCTATAACAGTGCATCTGCTTATGGTGAATCAACTTTAATGTCTGTCTGTCGTTATCTGAGAGAACCGTGTCTGCTACTGTAGGTATGCTTGTTTTTAGAATGAGAATAGTGGAGTCGACTGGGGAAAGTGGCTAAAGTTCTTTATACAGTAGGACACATTATTATGCAAAATTGAATCTTGTGAGCTTCAGGCCATGTTATAATGTTGTTAACTCATCAAAAACAAACCTGGAGTTGTGCTTCGTTCCATTCGGCAATGCTTGAGTAACCAAAGCTCAAAATGCTCTGTTCCACCTTGTAATGTTATGAAGCTGTAGTTTTCAAGTTAACTGCTACCATTTACTTTTTGTTTAATAGAGATTGGTAATTCCAGGGCTGAATTCATCGAAATGATTCTAGTGAAGGTGTATGGAGTTTACACAGTGGAGCAGTATGTATGTATGTGTACATATGTTTTCTACAGATACCCATCAAAAGGGAGTTTGGGTGGAAGGTGTGGGGATTAAAAGGGATAAAAATGCAATGCTAACTGGAATATATATAACTGCAAATAATAACACTTGAATAAAAATCCATCCATCCATTTTCTTCCGCTTATCCGGGGCCGGGTCGCGGGGGCAGCAGTCTAAGCAGGGACTCCCAGACTTCCTTCACCCCAGACACGTCCTCCAGCTCAAAATTTTATCACAAAAAACACAGTGCAGCACTTAATGTCTTACCAGAGTGTTTTCTATTTAAGAGAAGAACTCATCCTATATATGCAGGGTTTGTGTGTAAAACAGGTGTAAAAATACAAAACACAACTCAGGTATATTTGTGATGAGGAAACAGCATTATAACATAGATTAGAAAATAGCGTAATGTAGGCCCTTTACAGTGATGGATTCAGGTGTAGTCTGGAGTCTGGTTGGTGAATTCATCAATCGGTGCCACACAACAGTCTTGAATCCCATTGTAAAATCATAATATATTTTCTGCTTCTGTCTGGCCTCCTTTTGTTCTAGCCTAATGCAGCTATCTGACTTATATATGTATTGATCCACTTTAACTTTGGACCAGTCTGGGCAGTAATGCATTCTTTTGTATCTGATCCAAGGCTCCCCATTGTTAAGGCTGAATCTGATTTAATAAGATGTTTTTTATGGATATCACATAAATTACAAATGCCCCAAAGACTAAAATAAGATACAGCTAATGGACATCACATAGATAATGCACAATATTGAAGAAAGAGTTTTTATAAGCATTTAATAAACATTTTCCTCTTTCTAAAATGGTCCATGCGTCTAATAACAATAATGCATTAGTCTTATAGTTTTTCCAGTTGCTCGAAGCTGTTTTATAATTCAGTGCATTGCTCATGCACTTGGTGGGAGAAAATTACTGCTACAGCCACAGCTGCCCTGGGGTAGACTGACAGAAGCGAGAATGCCAGTCTGCACAATTGGTCCCTCCAACTGTCACAGATCACTCACACACCACATTCATACACTAACAAGTGTTTTGCCCAATGACTGCAGGCAGAAGGTTGGTGTACAAATGCTCAAAATAAACTTTAATCATCTAGAAGGGAAAGCCAAGTTGTAATTTAAAGGGCCCATATTATGCCATTTCCTCTGTTATAAATTTGTTTCCTCATTAAAACATACCCGGGGTTGTGTTTCGTTTTATTCATACATGTTGAACACACAAATCCTGCATATTTAGGCACCTTGTGGAAGTGCTCCTGTGCTTGAACTCTTATCTTGTCTAGAATCATTTGAATGATTTCAGCACTGGACTGGCCAGTCTTTGGTGAACTAAAGGTAAAAGGTAGCTGTTAACTTGAAAATTACCACTTTATGATATCACAAGGTGGAACAGAGCATTTTGAGGTTTGGAAATGTAGACATCCCAATAATACAGGATTATTCAAAAATGTGTGAATGAAACTAAATAAAACTCTGGGTATGTAGAGGTAGCAAAGTATTAACATGGCTAAAAGCTCACAGAAGTCAATTATGACTTATATAAGCCCTTTAATAACAATTACAATTTAATAGAACATAAATCTTGCAATCACACTCATACAAGCAAGGTGAATGATGTGTCTTGTCCAAGGACACAGGTTTATGAATTGCGATATGGCTGGATATGAATGACCTATCATGGACTACTTTTGCTCGAATAAATTTGTGATACAGTATTACCATCCACAATATCACAAAAAAGGCTTTTTCTATCAAATATAACAACTTTTATTGTATAAAAGGGGGTTTAACACATGCATTATTGTACTACAACTGCATATAGAGCAGGCTGTCAAGGCACATTTACAGATAAGACAAAAAGAATATTACTCCTGACTCTGTGTAGTAGCCTATATATATTGTAATAGCAGCCTATAGTTATCTCCAATAAAATCACACTGTTACTTCATATGTCTTCAGTGTCTTTTTATGTGGATAAAATCAAAAGGACAAAAGGGCACTGTCATGGACATTAGCATATGCTAGCACCCAGATGCAATATTTTTTTGGTTGCATTTTCTTCTTGGATTAATTTTATGCCATATATAAGACATAATAAAGAGTATACAAAAAACAGGCTTTTAGTCGAATATCTAAAAACCCTCCCAGTTGGATCATATTATATTGCTACAATTATTAAAATCCATGGCCAACAGTGGCTCTTAAAACTCTGTATTCAAATGCGTTCAATCTGTTCCACAAGCGGCAGCCATAATGGATTACAGAACAGAGCTGTCTTCACCTTGAATGGGTCTGTAACCTTTTTATTGGAGACTGGGGGCAGGCGCTTCCATCACAGTAATGCGTATCTCTGTTAAATATCTCCATCCCCCATATTGATCACAAGTGCTTTTTGACTGGCCAGCTTTTTATGACAAGGATAATTCATGACCCAATTCTATTCCATTAGCAGAAGTAGTTTTAAACAACGTGCACACCGCCACAGGAGCTAAATAGACCTGGATTAGCACCCATGAATCACTGCCCGTAAAGATGTACTCTGTAGCGGGATGGCTTGTTAAAGGGAGGTACATGGCTGGGCTAACATATGAACAACGTTGATTTAGTGTTAAGCTCTTTACCTGATGGCGAACGCGTGGAAGAGTTGATTTAGAAGACACCAGCTGTTTCTGCTCATCCACCCAGCGGTCCATGTCACGGTGAGGGGACTTCGCACCCCTCCTTCTCAGCGTTTGGGGTGTTCGTTGTGGGGTCTTGGGACTGGAGGGTGCCCTGGTGTTCTGGGGGCTACACTGGTTTCGGAGTGGGCTATGGGTTCTGCTTCGGAAATGCTGCAGTGTCCTGGTGAAGTCTCTGGATGGTCTCTCCTCATATTTGGTCAATGTTGAATCTAGATGTCCCAGTAAAGTCGCAGAGGGGAAGGGTGGTCCAAAAGAAGGTTCGAAGGGGGGGCGAGTTGGGACCTGACCTCGGTTAAGAGCCAAAAAGATGGCTTCCTGTTTGAGGTCATTCACAGTGGTGCCACAGGTGCTGCATTCGCCATGTTCCCAAGAATCTGTAGGCCGGCTCTGGATGCGCAGGTTGTCATGGAGAAAGGATGAAAGATCACTGGAGTCCTGCAATACATGAAATTTAATCAGATCAGTTTTGAAATCCTTATTTGTAAAGGGACAGCTCAAATTAGTGGACATTTCCATCTTAAGTCCCTCAGCAGGGAAAAGTAGAGGAGCAATCACACAAAAGCAAATGTAACACCAGCACACTCACTATATATACAATTGTAGAGACAAATGCTTTTGGAGTGCTTTTATGGTAAGGTCAAAATGGCTTCCATCTTTAGCTCCTTCAGCTGTATATTCTCTATGGTAGACACGGGTTATTTAATGAAGACATATTATTAGTTTTGCTGTATTTACTGAAAATCTATAACACACATAGGACGGTGTTTCAGATTTTTGTTTAGTGCAACACAGAATATTGATCTAAAACTGCTTAGAATGAAGGACATTACAGGATTACTCAAACATGCATGAATCACTCAAAATACAGCTCTGAGCAAACTCACAGTGAGAGAAAACCATTACAACAATGGTTAAACCTCAATTATGCATAATTGCTTTATTATGTCTTTAAATATAGAGCCTTTCTTCCTCAGTCACAAATTAGTTCTGGTTTAGTCCTGGACAGGTTTAGGTGGTGTTGCTTGTACTTCGTTAAGTGGTAGTTCATTTTTGTTTCTTTGTAAGTATTTAATATTATAGTATTTGCATTACATTCTATCTCATTTTTAGGAAGACAACAAAAAATATAGAAGGACTGTAACATTTCTATAAGCATAGCTCCTCAAACCACTTTCTATTTAAGCTCTCCTTGTGCCTGTTATCTCACATGCGTTATATTATGGAGCACATGACAGCAGCTTTCATTTCTCGCTGAGAAAAACTAGACAGATGATTGAGCAAATGTAAAATGAGTCATTGTGAGGCGCAGCAGGCAATTTTAGCACTTAGCGAAGGAATCACGGACTCAGGCCTATTGATTAATAACCGCCGCTATCATTTTAGCATAGCATGTAAGCACAACTAAAAGGCATCAAATAGGCATGAAATAGGTCATACATCAGAATCACTGCTGAATAAAGAAAGAAATAATTAAGAAACAAAACAATGTCAAAACTGTAAGGAATGCTATGAGAAAAAAAACACAATGGATAAAAGATTAGTCTATCCATATTTTTAAAGTATATACACTCAAAAAATGTTGACTCTGATTTAAAGAGGCTGTATTTCACTTCCATGGGGTATTAACTGCTAAGACGTAACATATTTAGATCACCATGTTATCCTGTATTGTTTTGAAAATGCTATATTCACATTAATTTTATACTCTTTAGGTCACATTGAAAATAGGCTTAAGTTTAATTTTATTCTTAATTTCCTGTCAGATTAACCATAAATTAATTCTTGATTCTTGATTGACAACAAAGGAAACTAGCATATAGAATCTTTTTATAGCATAGATTTATAACACTTTGGAAATTCTTACAATTATTCTCCTGAAATTAAGTGTAAAATCAATAAACCCTGTCATCCCCATATGCTCCAGTAATAAAAATAATTTGTTCTGAGTTTTATTCACTGTTGCCGTTATGACCTAACCCTGTTTCTCTCTATGTAAAAATGTCAGATTGTGTTTGGCCAGCCCAGTGCTTTCCTTGACTGCCCCTTCAGTCGATCAATGAGAATCTGCCAACACAGTGCCAATGACCCATACCGCCCCAGAGGAATACTGCACTTCACACTTAGCTCAGAACACACATCCCAACTCCAAAAGGACAAAACAGCATGACTACATTAGCATTACTACTGCTTCAGATGACTTTCAAATGACATCAACCATAGGACAAATGGACATAGTAAACCCACCGCGTTCCAAGTAGGAAGTGAGCATGGGGGCTCTTCTGGCTCCATTGACTTTACATTGAAAAACATTACCCCTCTCTCTGTAACTGCTGCAGTGAGCCTTGTCATTTTGGTCTTAAGATGGTTGTAAAAAAAATGCTCTACGTGATCTGTGTGTTTTTATTTTGCTTTTTTGTCTGTAAGTAAATTAATATTCTTAACATGGAGCTTGGCTTCAAATTCGCTATCCTCATGAGCTTCAATTTGACTGGAGCTGAATTCTGTGGGTGATGTCATACTCCCTTAGGTCACTTCTTTGACATCAATATGTTTTAAAAGCCTATCATATTTAATTAGAAGTGAAAATGCATATGATGGTGGTATATTGACTAATTACTATGATCAGGTACTATATTGTGGATTTACCTATTGGATATTTCTAATGAAAAACAGTTTACCTAAATATACTCTGGCTCTCAGAATGTGATATTGCCTTATTCAGTTTGAAAACACCTATATTATTATTATTATTATTATTATTATTATTAACATACTTACTATTTTCAAGTAATTGCAAAAATCTTAATTGCATTATTTCGCTTGTTTTAAGAGGATATGATTTCTCTCAATTTGTTTCTTTATGTTTTTAAAATAAATGAATAAGGTTAAAAAAAATACAAATGTCAAAATCTGAATTGGAGTGGTTTGTATACAGGAAATGAAAATGGCTACACCACTACATCATTGGCATTCGATTATGTTGCAATATTTCAATGACTATTCCCAAAAATGACTTAGTTACACCAGCTTCAACTTTTACCATTTGGAGCAGTAAGAGACAATACAAATCCATATGCTTTGATAACTGTTTATTCTGAGACCACTTATAATACTCTCCAATGCACAAAGGAGCTGTATTTTCAAAGGACAAATAGAAAAACACTAGTCAATTTTGCTTTTAACATGTTGACAAAATAATCACTTCTCATCCACTAACATAATGTCATGATGAACAAGCATAGCAATTTATGATTTATCTTTTTAATAGTACAATGTATGTGTTAATAGTACAGTTCTGAAGCTTACATGTCAGCCAGGTAAAATCCCCTACTGTATTATCTTTAAAAAGAGGTACAAAAGAAGACAAAATGAACAGTGTTGGATTTATTCATACATGTTTGTGGAGGAAATCATGTTACTTTAATGATTATTGCATTTGTGATTTACTAGTTATGATTAATACTGCAGTCCTATCTGGTTTATCTATAATATAATATAAGCCTGATTCATATTAAATATAATTTTGGAGTTCTGTTGCTCTATGGCTACAGGCAGGGGTGCAGGCATTTTAGAAAGGCCTTCCCCCACCTTTTAACTTGTGGCCCATCTGGATATAAATATTCTATCAACCATACGGCAACTACTGTAGACCGAAGACTTTTCCATCTCACCCAGACTGCAAACCCATATTAGAGATGATATAGTGAATGTGGAGCCATTTTGAAAAAAGTGAATCAATAAAAAACTGCCTTATCAGGTTTCCACTGACCATCTTAGTGGCCACAAGATAGCATTATCTCGCTACATTGCACAGCTCTGGAGTGTGGTCTGAAACGATACTGGTGAACATTGTTTTCAAGAAGAAGACTAAAATAAATGGTATTTTCTCAGACTGGACAGTGGAGCTGTGCAGATGAAATATTTATGCCCATTTGAAACCACGCAGAATGGGTTAGCGTTAGCGATGGGTGATGGATGCACATGAGTGTTTAGACATGACTCTCAAAGGCAGCATCAACACTCCCCCGTGAACAATAAACACCTCTTTATTGTCTTAAATGATAGTATGAAAAATGTTCAATACAATTATTATGTCAATTTAGTGGGGGTAAAGTGCACACCGGTCAATATAGGTAACTTGGGTCATTGTTTGATACTAAAAAGTCAAATTGATTACCAGACTAGATGATTGAAAATAGAGACTAGGAATCCAATATTCAAAATCTCTACTGTTCTACAGTGAATAAAATAAAATTATGAAATCAATATTGTACTTTATCATCTTGAAGCCTTTTTGTATCTCAACTCCATTAGTCTTCACAATTTGGTTGAATTTAAGTCTATTTTGATATTGTTATTATCTTGCTTTTTAATTCCATATTCTGTGTACATGATAATCCTGAATTTTGGATTGCAACTCTGGAATTTCCCAACTGTGGGATAAATAAAGGTTTTCTTATCTTAATGCTATAAATAACACCAAAGTGCCATTGTTCACTGAAAACTGAACTGTTTCTATTGGGCTTAGAGTCAGTTAGACAGTCCCAACTTCTTCACACTCCAGAAAATATTCCTCACCCAACATAATAAGGGGTTTGGGTAGGTTATTTTTCTGTTTTTAAACTCCATATACCTTCATTAGAACCAGTTGGATCATTTCAGCCCTTGAATTGCCCATTTCTACTGAACAAATGGTATAAAAGGTAGTTGTTAACTTAAAAACTACCACTTCATGACATCACAGGTGGAACAGAGCATTTTGATTTTTGGGGATGCAGACAGTCTGATAATCCAGGATTACTCAAACATGTGAAAATGGACCAAAACACAACTCCAGATTTTTCAGTCCAATTCTAATAATGACCAATGAACTACTGTTCTATACCTAGAATCTACAAGCCAGTGTGGATTAAACCTACACTTCTCCATGATCCATCCAACGTCTTGCTCCACTCTATTGATGGTTTACTCATTGCCGCCGGAGTCCGAATCCAAAGTATTGTTTGCGTATACTCCAAATCAGTCACGTTACATGATTTTACGTTGTTGTTTTTTCCTCCATCCATTTAACTTTGCACTGCAGCCCAGGTGAGTATACAAAAAAACAAAACAAAAAACACGCTAATAAAATTTAAGACCTTGGTGAAAAAAATAAGACTTGGACAACATAATTTAAAATGTTTTAAGGCCTTAATTTAGGAACATGAAATTTAAGACCCCACAGCTACCCTGCAGCATTATGACATGACTAAAAGCTCACAGGAATACATTTTACATAATTTAGGACCTTTAAATCAAGCTATAGTTCATGCCATCAACTATGGGCATTACACCCTGGTCTGTACCTATGGTCTCACAAATCAGATATTCCTTCTCTGTGGGGTTCCTTGGAATACTCACACCAGCTTCCGCCCACAATCCATTCAACAGTCATTCATGAACACATCTCACATCTCACATCTCATGCACGCCATTTGGATTACGTTATTGAAACTGATACTGGTCTCTGATTGGTTTATGACTATTGCTTTTGGCCCAGGAAATCTCTCTGCAAGAAAATGTGACATAAAACTATGCACAGACAAAAAAAGCAATTCTAGATATACTTTTGACAGAATTAGCTCAGAAAAGATTTTTATATCTTTCCTAAACACTGCCACAGTACCCTCACTTGCTTGCCTCCACAGAAATTTTATTTCTTTGTCTGGAATAGTCCAGAATGGTATTAAACTGATCTATCTCCACAGACACAATTAAACAACGAAACCAGACCAAGTTACAGGTTAGATCTGTGAAAAGGCAAGGTAGCATGTTTTCAATAAAAACACCAAAAAATAAATTCATACAAAATAGCTATGTTAATTCTATATAGGCAAAGCAATCACATCCCCATGAAGACAAGCAGGTCAGGATCTTCTTCCAGAAATACTACATATAGCACCTTTAACACTTGCACTATCCAGCTAAATCTCTGGTTATTTGTCACACAAATTACAAGTTGTAATTTGATATTTTCAGTATTGAATAGCAGCGAAATGCAATACCACTACGGCAGTATTTTTAGTGAAATAACTCAGTGCGTAATTACCATACTAACCTTGCATGAAAACTGTTGATGAACCGCCAGACTGAGAGCTTGTTTCTTCAGTCCCAGTAACGTGGTGGAACACTTCTCACAACAGGTAACTTTCTGTTCGGCCCGCCCGAAACCAGTCAGCGCCGATACCGTGCTCCGACATAATGTCCCGGTACCGTACGACATATTGGCTCCTCGCTCCCCAACTCCGTATCCAGGCAGGGACTTGTAGGACGATCTCTGGCACATCGTATTCCTAAGTGTGTCGTCTCTGGAGCCCTCGGGAGCCGGGCGGAGTGCGGAAAAGTCACCGTGATGCTGCGTCTGTGTGTCCTTGGATTTGGGACATAGGGATGAAAAGGGTTTTACGCACGATCAAACGTTGAAATAAGTGGCATTATGAAACCACCTGAGAGGGAAAATGCTTCACTTAAAGTATGAAATAAACCACTTACCCAAGCTGTACCTCTAACCAAGCCGGGAAATCTCTCTCCTCTTCCAGTCAGTGATGACATGATAACTTGTTAATATTTAAAAGCATATCCAAACAAAGGCAGTGATGATTTGGAGGTAACGCAAACGCGGCCAAGTGAATAAAAGGAAAAAAGATCCAGCTCATGTTTAGGTTAGAGGAAGAGTGGAGGAATACGACAAAGCTGTGGTGAAAGGGGCAGAGAAGAAAGTGTCGGGAAGAAGTGAGCGCACAGAGGAGCGTCTCGTGGTTGGGGTGTGTTCAATGCGCACCGCTAGAGGGCAGTAATTTGAGGGGTTCAAAACATTGATTTAAGCCTATTCTATTATATTATGACTTTGGTGATGCTTCTGCACACTAAACTAAGGTCATCTATAGAGAAGCCCATAACTCCAAATGGAAATGTGGCAGATTGCCTTTTACATTAACAACATTTTTTAGCTACAGGGTCCATGAGGTTAATTTAAGAGAACTTTTATAAGACCGATAAGTCCAATATAGGTTAGTTGAAGCATCGAGAGACCAAACAAACTGATACATAAACTAAGTTTGTCTTGTAATCGTATGAGATAGGTTGTGATTATACATCCAAGATCATCCACTGTGCACCGACAATTACAATAAAGCACTTGACCCATATGAGACAATCATGAATGTTGATGACTTAATTGAATCCTTTGTTTGCCTTTCATTTGTTCTGGATAGTTTTCCCTTAACCTGACTGTATAGTGAGCTCCATCTGAAACTTCATTTTTTGTGTTTCAACCCTATAACTTGCTTCATCAAATCAGAGTGACCAGAGGGCTATTATCTGTAAAGTGTCTCCATCTGGTGGATGAAAGCTACAAACACGGGACTTTGTTGAAGACATAACACGCCTGCTTCGTTTTGATAGACCTCTTCTCAACCTTTACAAAAATCAAAAGGCACATATGGATCATATGCAGTGATTGCATTTCTGAACTCACAAAGCTTACGTATATTGTAAGGGTTAGAAGAAGACGATTTCCCATATCCAACTGTTTCAGCTTTTGCATGGCTTCATTCATTCTGCGATGTTATTACTGCAGTAAATATAAAGATCTAATTCCTCTTTTTCAATGTAGGTTTCGTTCTTTTGTTCACGTGGTTTTGCGACAGATGGCCATTGATCAAGGGGCTACTTTACCCAGCTGCACAGTTCTTAATGTATTTACGGTATTTGTTCGATGTTTCCATGAATGTTCCTCCCCCACAGCCAAGCTGAAACTGCTGCTAAACCCCCATTGCAACCGATGAGCGAAACTCAGTGCGCCTCTGTCTGAGCTGTACGGTAGTTGCGCACGCTCCTCCCCCACACCGCTCTTTAGCCGGGCGCACAGTCTGCTCTCAGCGGTTTCACTTTGGCGCACGGAGCAACGACATCGATAAAACGCCGTCCGCTTATTTATTTACAATTTTGTAACTTATATTTAACCCACTCCGCTCTGAACCTTTACGATGAGTTCAATCAACGTGAAGAAACTCAAAGTAAACGAACTGAAGGATGAGCTCAAGAAGCGTAATCTCTCCGACAAAGGACTCAAGGCCGAGTTGATGGACCGCCTGCAGGCCGCGTTGGACCAAGAGGCCCTGAGCGACTCCCCAGCCCCGGACGAAGGCTTTGTCCAGACCGAGGCGGACCAGGAGGGCATGGGAGAGGAAGAGGAAGGCGACGGGGCGCTGGAAGAAAACATGGAGGCAAATGAAGAGGAGCAAGAAGATGAGGCTGCGAATGGTGGCGACGGTGCTGCGGATGAGGAGATGGGTGAGGAGGAAGAGGAGATGGACCCTGCGGTGAAGACTGAGGAGGAGGAGGAGGAAGAAGAGAAAATTGACGCTTTGGAGGGTGAGCCAGAAGACCAAGAAGGTGAGTGCTAAAATAAGATTTTGCTCTAACCAGTGGCTTTGTAGCGAGATGAAGCGGCGGGGAGTCGTTTTGAAGCGTTGCTATATACATCAGGGCGTCCATGTTGAGCTCATGTGTGACCTCGTTACGTTAGGCAAGACTATCCTCAGCTGACACTGTTAGCCGCGGAGCTAATCCTGCTAAGCACCATTCATTTGGCTAAACATTATTCTTGCGTAAGTCTGATCGAGCTTGCTAGATATGATTAATGGAGCATATTTGTTTTTTGTTAGACAGGTAAATACACGTTAACGATGAGATGTTTGTCGTCGGTTTGTGTACCGTGTTATTTTGATTTGGTAAGCGGGTTAGCTAGCATGCTAGTTAGCGGTTCTTTGTGTCTTTGAGGTAATGCTAATGCTAATGGTTTAGCTGGTTAGCCAGATAGCCATTTCAGCGGTTTCCTAGGGATTTTTTTCAAAATGGATAGGCAAATGATACATTATTATGCCAAAATTGGGTTAACCGTATACATATTCAAGCTATTAAATAACGCATAGACCCTATTTTTCCATTATTAGAGTAGCCGATCTCTGGCTAATTGGAAGTAATTGCAGTCCTTGGGATCCGCCTGAAATGGCTGAAAGGAAATCGCACATGCGCCGCTGTGTCATAACTCGTGGTTTGATCGCTGTTTGTATGTAGTTTACGAGGCTTGAGTTTCAATTTTAGCAAGGCAAACGTAGCTGTGGGGATGGGATACATGCATTAGGTTACTTGCATGTCGCTTTTGACTCCTTAGTATTTAAAAACGGATTATATTGCCCTTTTGATTACTTTATAAAAAAATTACTCTAGTTTCAGGCCCCACAAACATTGTCAATGTTCTCATGGACCAGCCTACACTGTAATTATTCTCTGGCCATTTGTTGGACTGATTGAATGACTTTGTTTTGTTCTAATTACATTACGAGGTGTTGCCTCTTTTCATCTATTTCATGGTCGATTCTGTAACTAATGACCGGGCTTTGTGGGCTAAACTCCCACTGCCAGTCCGACCTCTTTCACTCAAAAGGAACACCTCATTCTATATCTTTGTTCTATTTTCAAAGGGGATGCGGACAAAGACACGAATGCTGATCAGAAGAATAAGAAGGGTGTTAAGAGACGCCGGGAGGAACATGGAAGGGGCTACTTTGAATTTATTGAAGAAAACAAATACAGCTGGTAAGGATGGGACAGAGCCAAATGGCCTTCAGCATCCCTGAAGTGCCATCCATAGCTTTGTTGCAATGTATTGGCTTTAAGTGCCAATGCACTCACATATACATAAATATAAACAAGAGGAAAACCCTCACTTAAATGTAAACATTTCTGAATAAGTTGATGTTGACATGTTTTGAGGGTCATCCCTGACTATTCAAAGCCTTACCATTTACCTTTCCAGTGCCCTGTCATTTTGTCTTGACTGCATTCTGTAGCAGAAGTGCATCTATAAAGTATGACTGCTCATTTGTTCCTCATTAAAATGTGTAAAAGTAAGTTCTGTCCTCAAGGATAAATTAAAGCTGCTCAAAGAGTTGAAAGAAAAGCAGCAGCTGTGCACTTGTGAATAAAGGGTGGGCAGGGTGGGGTGAGAGAGGCGTGGGTGGAGGGGTCTACGGCTGCAGGGAACCACATAGATGCAATCTCTAGTTTTGCCACGTCCTGGAGGAATCCGCTACCGATTGCTCATCGTTCGCCTCGCAATGGTCTTCAATGTTTTTGTTATTGTTGTATGCCGTAAAATGCAATTTGTTGTTTTGCGCGGATGTGTGTTTAAGTTGCTCTTATCTCTGTACAGGAGCATGGTTTGCTGAATGTATGAATACATTTTCCAATTTTGTATTTATTTTTTGTCATTCCTGTAAGGATCTACTGTTGAACAAGAAAATCAGTTTTTAAAGAAGAGCTTTGTTTTTGTCTTAGAAATGTTCATAGTAACCAACTCATCAAAGACTGTAATTATTTTCTTTGAAAATGTATTTTGAATCAATGAAGCAGTGTCCACTTCAAAAGATACAAGGAGCAGCTGCAGCAACATAACTTCCCAAGGACTGCACAGTATTATAATTGTATTCATGGAATGTATTTCTACTTATGGCTGTTTGTAGTACCAGCGCAAACTTTCTGAATCTTTTTGTACAGTCAAAACACCTGGTATACAAAGGAATGAGTTGGACTTGTATTAAATTTAACAATTATTATTTTTTAATTAATCCACCACACTGGAGGTAACAAGGTTAGTGGAGGTGTTTCAGTGTTGTAGTGTCTGTGTGTCTGATTTGATGTTGTAGATTTCCATGGATGCTGGAGGTAAGTGCTCCACAAGACTTTAACCCATTTTCTTTTAAACTTCTGCTATAAACGTCTTTGAGCCAAAGCATCTCCCATCCATTTGAAGCTTGTGCTTTGATGTCTCTCTCATGGCTCTGATGCCTCTGTTTCAGGGCTTCGTTCAAGTCCCCTGTCCCCCCTCTGGAGGAAGAGGATGAAGAGTTTGATGACACTAAAGTGTGCTTGGACACCTGTAAGTCACAAGACCATAGTATTTAGTTTCTAATTAATACTGTCAAGTAATATTTATGTGTGCTTCAGACAACTGTGACCTGCACTTCAAAGTTTCCAGAGACCGCTACAGCGCCTCCTCACTCACCATGGAGAGCTTTGCTTACCTCTGGGCTGGAGGCAAAGCCACTTACGGTGTGGACAAGGGAAAAGTGTGTTTTGAGATGAAGGTATTGACATTTGGTCTCCTTCATTTAAAAAATGCATAAGAGTTGGTTGTACGTAATATCCTTGTGTGTATGTTCTTCAGATCACTGAGAAGATCCCTGTTAAGCATGTTTCCAGTAAAAACATGGAGATTCATGATGTGCAGGTCGGCTGGTCCCATGCCACTGGCACACTACTGCTCGGTCAGTATTGCACATATTACCCGCAGTATTCCAGTCGACCAAACCCATTTGATTCGGATATATAGTACATGCTATTACACAAGATAGATTAATAGGATGTTAATGTCAATCAACATTTAATAATCAGACACAGATCTGTAACAACGATAACCTTGTGCAGGTGAGGAGGAGCACTCTTATGCTTACTCTGGGAAAGGCAAGAAAACTACCAACTGTGTGACTGAGGACTATGGAGAAACCTATGATGAGAATGACGTCATCTGCTGCATGATTGTAAGAACTGACAGCTCCTATATTTTAACTGGGCAATAGGATTTTAAAGTGACACTTTTTTTTCCCTGTAGAATTTTGAAGGTGCTGATGTGGTTATCTCTTATTCCAAAAACGGAGGAGAACCAAGTGTTGCATTCACAGTCCCCAAAGAGAGTCTGAATGGAAAGGCCCTTTTCCCACATGTCATCTGTCACAACTGTGCCGTAGAGTTTAATTTTGGCCAGATGGAGACTCCCTACTTTCCTCAGCCAGAGGGCTACACCTTCATTCAGCAGGTTCCTGTGAGCCAGAGGATAAGTGGACTCAAGGGACCCCAGACTAAGGCTGACTGTGAGGTAAGAAATCAACACTTGTCATGTTATTAAATCCTTTGTACCGCTCGGCATTAAATTGTGAAACTTTTTTAGATCATTGTAATGGTTGGCCTGCCTGGCTCTGGAAAAACCACTTGGGTGAAGAACCACGTTCAGGAGAATCCTGGCAAATTCTACATTCTGGGCAGTGACACCATTGTGGAGAAAATGATGGTAAATGCTGGATTTTCTGTAGAAGGATTAGATTATTTTTTTAAATTTATTTATTTTATTTTTTTTAATGTCTCATTTTAGTTTTACCCTTTTGTAATATTTATTCAAACAGCTGAACAGCCTGAAACGCCAGTCCAAAGATGTCTCAAAGCTGGTTGGGATTTCCCAGCGTGCACCACTCTTTCTTGGGAAGTTCATTGAGATTGCTGCTCGCAAGAAGCGAAACTACATTTTGGATCATGTAAGCAGTTTACCTTTTTTGCTAGTTACTAGGTAGTTCTAACATTTATTGTGTATATAAAATAATTATTCCTTTTACCAGACAAATTTATCAGGCCCGGGTCAGAAGAGGAAGATGTGCCTGTTTGCTGGTTTCCAGAAGAAGGCTGTGGTGGTGTGTCCCTCTGATGAGGACTACAAGCAAAGAGTCCAGAAGAAAGTGGAGCTTGATGGCAAAGAAGTGCCTGAGCACGCTATGCTGAAAATGAAAGGTAGAATACATCAGTGATGAGGGTCATTATTCACCCAATGT